TTGTGTTGCTGTTTAATGTTTGCACTTGCTTTGATTTTCGTTTTCATTCATTTTTTCAGCTCTAGTATTTATATTAAAATTTATTCATCAGCGGGGAAATTCTTAAAAAAGTGCACTCACAGTGGGAGCAAAAATAATAGTACTTGTCTAAAATAATTTTAACCTTCCTAATTAAATGGTCTGTGATACTATTTCCATTTATAAAAATAAAATGCAATTATCCTAATTGTCTATTGACAAAATAAGGATTTAAAACTAGATTATCCCTTAATATACAGCAATATTAGTCGACAACTGTGAGGCTGTGAAAAAATGTTATATTAAAATCATCTTTCATTGCATCAGTTTTTTCGCTATTTATTTGGCTTTGTTTGTTTTGTCACCTCGCTGTTATGTTGTTCGAATTAATTTCCACAGCTTCTGGTTTCAAATTTAATTGCCTGCAAATCGGGAACTTTGACCCTTGATTTGGGCCTGGGCGCCGCAAGTCCTGCCGTGTCATCGCGGGGCCATAAAAGCAAGCGCCGTTTCATCGCCTTCTCGCCTCTGGAGGGGCATTAACAATGCAAAACAATGCATAGATACTCGGGCATGTGTCTTGGGCCAGATGCTTAACCTTTGACAGTTAATTGGGTCAGCCACTGCAGGTGGGCAGTTTGATCCTTTGAGTCACTTGAGTCGACAGTTCTGTCCATAATTTAAACATGAGTGGGGGAAGCAATTAGTGTCGGCTGCCACTCGAGTGGCCCGGGCTCTTAAAAATATTAAAACCAAAATAGCAGCAAGCCATGTCTGGCCGAAGCTGACCGCATCAAAGCATCCTGGCACCATGGTGCGTATGGGCAATACAGACCAAGTTGAGTGGGTCGGAAACACTTGACCAAATGCAGAATATGCTTCCTTCTTTCTACTTTTTTCGGAATCGCTTCGAATGTTTTCCTTTCCCGCATGATACCAGCTTGCTTGGTTGTTAGTTTTTTGGTGCGGCTGCATATGGTAGTGGTAGGAATGGGAATGGATGTTTAAGGGGCAGTGGCAGTGGCAGTGGCTATGGTAGTGGCAGGGGCAGTGGCTGTGGCTGCGGCTATGGCTGTGGCAGACACGTGCACACACAATCGTATGGACATGGCCATGCATACATACATCTGCCATAAAGTAATTCAGTGTTGTTCCAATAAAGTGCTTCATAAATATTTATTGGATTATCGAACGTATCGGACGTACAGCCACACGAACTGTCTGGAGAACGCACATTGCTCCTCCATTGCCATAATGAATATGAAGCAATGAACATTGCAATAAGCGCACGTATGAATAAATGAGAGCACATCGCTGGAGAAAAGAGAGTAAACGGAGAAAGGAGAAAGCAGCAGCAGGAAGCACAAGAAGTTTCCTCCCATTCTGAATGGAAATGAATGAATGGAATGCTTGGGGCAAATAAACTAATAGTTCAAGTGCTTTCAATTGCGGGTTTTTGTAATTTAATAAACCACTCGACGACGCTCGCCAGATGAACGTTACCCTCCCGATTGATGGATATACAAATACCATAAATATATTCATCGTCGTTTAATTAACTAACATTGCCGGGCCTCGTGCGCTAATTGCATAATCAATTAACACATTTGATACTTTAATTATAATCAACCGTCCGGAAAGCGAAAATTATAGGCACCGGCCTATAATTAAAAGTGGATTAAATCCATAATCTCGAAAATTAAAGCCTCGTTAAAGTCATAAAATGGCGACGTAACAAAATGGAATTTAGAGCTGGCAGGATGGCAGGCGGATTGGCGGACAGCCAGCAGACAATCAGGCATTATGATGGGCGCCTGAAATTGCTATTTATTATTTATTCTGACATTTACATCAACAATCGAAGCCAGGCAAAGTCGAAGTCAAAGTCAGACGCCATAGCAAGGGCTGAAATAGTAACGAAACATCCTCGGGCCTTGCAGGTATTTAGGGTGTTTGCATATTTCATGGCCTGTCATTGTTTACATGGCTCAAATCTCTTTTCTTTTCTCTAGCATGGCTTTCTGTTTTTGTCCTCATGTGTTGTCTTCTGGAGACTTCATTTGCACATTTTACGAAAACATTGGAGCGTGTAATTCAAGGGGTAACCACGTTAGATACCGACAAAAAGTCAACCGACGTTGTTGAAAGTGGCTGGGTATCGAACTTGCAGTATCGTTACGTATTCATAGAAAACGACAACAGACTGAGAGCCAGTCTGAGTGAAATGGGAATCAGACTGGGTCCTAGGACAAACTCGGTTACACCCAACACTAATCACACATAAATCAAAAAATGACATAAAGTGTAGCAAACAGCAGCTGGTTGTCTGACTGTGTGTCTGTCGAGTTTGGTGGCAAACTGCCGACACACATATAACACGAAATCGACACAAATCGAACGCAGAAATGGTAGATATTGCATGTGGGCTCAAATCCGATTTTGCAATGCCATACCATATGGTGAAATCTCAGGCTAAGGTGGCCGACTGCAACTCATGCAATATTAATTACAAATTACAGGCAAGTACATTAAACATGCATTGTCAACTCCCACCGGGCAAACAAACACACACACCAGTCCCTCAGCCCCACAGCCCCCAGCCCCTTCGATTAAAGTCCCAGCTCCCATTGTGAGCGATGCACAGGGAGCGATAAAATAGTTGGAAAAAAAACAGAAAACTGGAAAACCAGCATATTGGAGAGGCCTAACACAATGCCATTGTAATATCGATTACAAAGCCCTCGGAAAGTACCGCCCAAAACTACACATTAGCCTGCGCTGGCACACACTGCGTATACGTGATGTGTGTCTGACTGTGCCGCCCTCGCATAATTGCTGTCATGAAACTCGTTATAATACACCTTCCCGGTGAATAGAGGTATTGGGTGGCATTTTGTCGGCTTATGAATTCACTCCGCTCCGCTCCACTCCACACCACACTCCGGGCCACTTCAATGAACCGAACCACTCCACTTTAGTCGATTTTTGATTGATTCCCTTTGGCTGGCTAGTGAGTAATTGTTGTTGATTTAATAATTTATGGCGGTGGCAATTATTTAAACTGGCCAACGACCAGCCCCACGTATGACATCAGAAAATGTTTCACACGACCGTGGAAACACATTTGCATACGCAAATCCGAAGCAGGGAGGTGTAGGTGTGCAAGGAAAATAAGGTAAAATGTCACAGCGAATGAGTTGAAAAGCTGTATTAAACAACACTTAGATGTTGCCAAAGGCAGGTGGATAGCGGGCGGATGTGTGTTGGTGTGTAAAGCAAAAAGATTCATGATTTGTGTGTGCGGAAAGAAAAGGAACTCCGAGGCAGTCGTGTTGCAGCAAAGCAAATATTGTTAAAGTTGTTGTGGCAGCAGCTGCTGCCGCCGGTGGAAAAAATTGCACGCTGGCAACCAGCACAACACAAAAGGTAGTTGGACAAAAAACAGAGAAATATATAAAACACACCGGGGAAAACTGCATAAAATGTCAAGGTAAAACTAACAAACTGGCTTAGAAGCGATTTAACGGAAACGGAAATGCCAGCAAAGACCGTTTAAAGCGCCACCAACTTTGGACAGCTGCATTTAAGAGCCAAAGGAAACTTCTCTTCCTTCTTGGCCCGGCTGATAAGCAGCAAAAAAGCAGCAAGGAGAACGTAGGCAGGAAAAACAAAATAGAGTCCCCGTGAATGGGCGCCGTAATTAGAGTGTAAACGGGCGACAAGCGCAAAGTTCAAATCGCTGCTCAAAAGTAATTAAAAAGTTGCAAATAAAACGGCAAAGAATAGCGTCCAAATTGCGCGATTGCAGCGAACTTTCGAGGCAGGCGGGAGGACTGTCTTGTTAATCTATCTCTGCTGGCATTCAAAACTCTTTAAAACACAGTTAAATTTTAAGTTGAAAAAAAAAAACAGGAATAGTGCTGCTGCTCTACCCTCGCCAAATTGAACTCCACAACTCATTGAACAGCACTTGGAAAGTACGCCAACAATTTTACGCTTGGGCCTAACCTGAAATTCCTAACAGGGAGCCAGGAATCGGGCCCAGGGACTGCCATTCGAGTAAATGCATTGCAACTATTTTAGGGGCACTCATTTTTCAGTTGAGTGGTTGGATGAAGCTGCCAGTCATCCAGCGAGTAAGTCAGTCTGGCCCTGCTGGATCTGGGTGAACCGTAGTTTATGCCAGAAGGATAGCAAAAGGATAGGCCACGACAGTGAGACATGTGCCAGGATCTCTAACCATATAGCGCCTAGTATGGTATGTGTTGTGTGCGCCAGGTAATCACGTCATTATCACGTGAAATTTCGGCATTAACGTGAATTTACGATTTGCACATGAGCACACGACGGGGCAAGGCAACAAACTGAAGTAAAAAAATAAATAAACACTAACGGATAGCGGAGGCACAGCCGAGTACGGCCCAAGGTAGCGACGCACATAAACTCACATTAAATGCGATTGCCAATTTATTTACTAAGTGAGCGCCAGTGAGGCGCAGGATGTGGAACCAGGACTAAGGGACTAACGTCAGGAGCACAGCTGGCAAGCGCTGCTAAGTTGGCTCAAATTTTAGAGCGGAAATAGTGCGGCAGGCGATGTGGCACGGGGCCCAGGGTGTGGGGCATGGGGTAAGGGGCTTTGTAATTGAACCAGAGAGCCACCCAACCTAAAAGTTGCTGAGCCAAAAACTTCACTCACACACACACACTCGACGAATGTTGGCAACTTTTTTGCATACAATTAACGAAAGTGGCGCACCTAGGTAAATAACATGAAATATTTCTGGAAAGGGGCTGGAAAAGGAGCCGTGCGAGTGCTCAACCGCATTAACCCATTACCAGCATAAGCAGTAAGCCGTGAGTTTTCCTTGCCAGGTTCTCCTGTTTTTTTGCTTTCGCTTCTCCAGCTTTTCCTTTCGTTGAGCCATACAATTTTCCATCACATTTGCCAAATTAAATTATATATTATGTATTTTATGTACATTTATAGTAGAAGTGCACACTCGACTGGATTTCCGTTGGTTTGCCGACACTTGATGATTTACGGCTTAGAGCTAAGCTACGATTTCACTCGGCCACGTTAACGTAATTTTTTCTGGTATTTCTTGTGTATTTTAACGCCACGATCGACGCCAGGACACGCACTCGTAATTCCGCTCGAATCGCTTCGACTTGAAACCCAGAGCGGCCTGTTTGAATCGCTAGAGCCCGCTTGCCATTGGCCGCGTGTCCTTTCGTCACGAGTCTCAGTCGCAAACTGTTTGGTCCGCAGGACTACCCAGCCTTCGGCCTCATTCGACCCGACAGGACTCGGCCTCGGGTTCGGGTATTGGTCCTTCGACTTGCCTCGTTTACCGGAACCAAACGAGAGAGACAGGGAGAGAGTAGTGTGGAGAGTTTCATTTGGCGCCAATTTGGTTTGGCACTCGAGTGGAGAGTGTGACTCTCAAACTGTAGAAGGAAACTAGGAAGTTTGAAAAGGGTCAGGAGCCAACCAAGGTGTTTTACTGGTTGTTTGGTAATAAATAAAGAAAAATAAAACAGTTAAAACCATTTTAAATTGATTAAAAACAACTTAAATAATTTAAGAATATAACTATTTTTTTGATAAGATATTTATTATAATAATGACCCGAGTATTAAAATTTCCTAGTTTATCTTTCAGGCTCGAAAAATATTTTTAAAAATTCTGATTAATTTTTATATTTAATAACAACATTCCATTTAAACCATTTGGAGAGTTATCGAAGAGGCAACCGGAAAATAGAAAGAGCAAGCAAAGGGAAAGCCAAAGAGAGAGACAAACACAAAGATAGTTGAAGTTTCAGGTGGCACTGCAATTATCCGTTTTTGTTTTGCTAGCACGTTCGCCGTGCAAAGCTCTCCGGGTCTCCATGCCACTGTCCGTGTTGGCCTAGGACTCTGCTCTGCCATGCTCTGCGTACGAGCAAAAGCTCACGACTTGACACACAAACGGACGGAATGGCAGATGCCACCGAAGCCAGGCCATCCACGATGGATGACGACGCATGGAAGTGTCCAATAAAAATTACGTATACGCAGCGAGTGCCCCGAAGCAGCAGGCTCTAAGCCACGAAGCGTGCGGTAATTGGCAGTGGCCAAAATCAAATAAAAAGTACACTTACATACATATGTATTTAGGAATTTTCACCAAACCCTTCAAAACAACGCCTACACTTCTAAAGACTTTTGCAAACATACAGAAATACAAAATAAACAATTTACCATTCAGTGTCAAATTATTCAAAAAAGTTCAATAAATATCAGGTAATATAAAAAAAATCGATATTTAATAGAACACTCTAATATTTTTAAATTTATGATTAGGTCATTTGCATTTGTCATTTTCGTATAAAATTCGTAAGAGTATTTTAAATTTCAAAATTGAGTTCATAAGATCATTAGTTTAGAGAGAGTTAGATTAAAATTAATTAGAGTTCATTAAAAACCACTGTGTCAAGTAATACCCACTTTAAACCTGGACGTTCTTATGAAGTAAATTATGAAATGAATATAAAACAAGGTACACGAATTTTTCTGTTAGTGTATGTACCATTGAGCTACTAAACAATGAGCACGAAAATTGCAGTCAGGCCGCGCCTCAAGAAATTGGCCTCGACGGCGGCATGGCCAGCATGTCAACATGTCGCCGACGCTATAAATCTATAGAGGCAGTACGCCGTACCAAGGTGGACAGGAACTGAGACGGGACAGGAGCTGGCAACGGAAACGGGAATTGAAATTTGGATTTGGAGTCCCCGTCGTCCTGCATAGCTTCACGAACTGTGGCCCCACGAGCACGGCTATTTCTTTGGAGAGCACATTGTAATTATCGCGTGAAATCAAAGCGATGCCCGCCGACCCGAATGTCTTGCCAAAACAATAAGTCGTGGCCGGGGTGGCATGGCAACGCGGGGGCGCCTTTCTCGGTTCCTGGTGGGAGGGTCCTTTGTGCGGTCCGCCTGGACTTTTATGTTTGCCCGCAGCCGCAATCGCGGCCCAGCTAAGCTGATTATTTCATTTCCATTGTGCTCGCCCTCTGGCATAACTTAATTTTTATGGCACTTATGATATTTTAATCTAATGAAAATATAATTACATTGCCATTGCTAATTTATACTCACAGCGAGTGGTTAGTTTTGCGGCAAGGGGGGAGACTCACCTGCAAAGCAAATAAAGCAAAAGAAATATTATTCGTTTGTGGGGAAACCTGCTGCTGGCGGGAAATGGGAGCAAACGTTTCCCTATCCGAACATCAAAGCCAGGCAAGTAACTAAACTTGAATCGATTGCCAGCAGAAGTAAAACAAATTGTGGAAAAATACAAAAAAGGAAAATACAATGCAGAAAACAAAAGAGAGACACACGCAAAGCCACCTAAACCTGAAAACCAGAGACAATCGGCGGTGGCAAGGTGGCATGCCAAGGCTCCCGAGGTGGGGCACATACACGCTCACTGTTGCAAATTGACTTGCTTTTGAAGTACAAAGCATTTGGTGTTGCCACCTGCAGCCCGTTGGCTAAACAACGGCAGGCCCAGGCTGGAATTGAATTCACAGCCGGGCCAGCGGCACCACAACGCTGCGAGATGTCAGAAGGACAAAGACGTGAGAATTGCTTATTTTGTGAAAATTAGAAAATATTACACAACGCATAGCAACACACTTTATGTTGGCACTGTAAAAAATGGAATGCTCTCAAAAAAAAATATAAAATACCAATTTAATTTTCAAATACTCTTTGGTAATACAATAAAGCCATTGAACAAGCCCATTTCCAAATTACCTTCCTCCAAATAAGTATCATAAAAATTAGTATGGCGTTTTTGAGTATCCACTAAAGTCTCCAGTAACTTGTGTGTCAGTTGCAAGTTGCTAACATACTTCAGCGGCTTCTTCGCCATTTATCCTCCTACTGCCTTGCTGCCTCAATCCTGGCCACCATTTGCAGATCCAGTTCTGGTTGTGTGTCAACATCAGCGCGGTTTGTTGCCCTGCAGTCCATGCATAATTAGTAGCTAACAACAATTCCCAGGCAGCCAGCCAGCCAGCCATCCAGCTAGATAGCCGGGCTCTTGAAGCCACAGAACACGGAAGCAGCGACAACAGGACTCTTGTCGCTCTCATTCGCATCCATGTCAGCCAGGACAATTGCCGCTGTCGCTCAGCCCCAATCCCAGCCCAGTGCTCGCCTGATTGGAGTGAAAGTTAAAGGTGAGCTCCTCAAAGTAATTGTCGCCGGGTTTTCTTTTTCTCCAACCCTTCTAGCAACCAATAGAGTATAAGAATCCCATTCAGAGATTGCTAATGTTGTCGGGGGCCCAGAAACAAGCTCCATGAAACGGATATACAAAGCAAATTGTGTGCATTAGCCAGGCAGTCCTTGAGTGGGGGAGGAGTGGGGGACTGAAATGTCCTTCCAAATTTAACAATTTTCAATAAAGGCCAGGGTACAAGGCAGCCAGCCAGGCCGAAAGGTAACATTGGGCCATTCTACATATCCAATATGTATGGGTGAATGGATGAATGTGTGCCTTGGTTACGGTCAAAGGACACGTATAATAGATTGCCAGTTAGTTGCCTCAAAAAAGGACACAAGGCGGCAAATAATCCGAAAAGTTATCAGCCCATAGACAGCAAAGGTGATGCCGGCAAGTGCAAAGAAAATTTTAATGGGGGTACTATAGTTAGCCTGAGTCATTGCCACGCTTTCCATTTGCCAACTACATCGAAGTGTTGACAAGCGTTTTCAATTAGCCAAAGTTGCCGCTCACTGAGCCTCACGAAATAGAGGAGGCTTCTAAGGGAAATACCTTTAAAGGGTGCGCTGCCATTCATTTAAAGTATTTACTTTTCCTACATATTAAGGTATATATGGCTATAAATAAGGATAAAGCCAAGATATATTCTATAGTTATAGGTGAGCACTGAAATAAAAACCAACTTATCCATTTATGAAGTTTGATACTCATGGAATAAAAGTCAATAAAAGACGTTCCAAGACAAGCTTTAAGTTTGAACATCTGACGCAATATACATACAAACTAGCTATTCATATCTGTTTTTTCCCGAATAATGCTAATTTTAAAGTTTTTTCGTTAAATTTATATACCCTCTCATCCCGGAAAAGGATAGTACCCCACACAGGGAACTTCTGACGCGTTGTTAGGAAGGTGTCTGACTGTCTAGTCCCATTGTCTTGGCAAGTGTGACGAAGTGCCTGTGTCTGTGCGTGCCTGTGTGTGTGCGGTATGTATGACTGTGTCCTGACTTCCGCTCATAACTCGACTCGACTTTAGGCACCTCAAGAGCTGACTTGACGGACGTGGCTTATTGTTTCATTTTGCTGCCGCGTTAGCTTACGACTGAAACAGCATACAAAAGCAATTTATCAAGCCCTAATTGTGTGTGTGCCGGTGCGGGGCTATACGTGTGTTCTTGTCATTGGTGTGTCAGAAAAACTTAGCTCTAGTTTGTTGTACTTTCAAGTTGTCTCTCCCACTTTTTGCGGCCCTCTTCCTGAATCCTATTTACTTGCGGCTGACAATTGATGAACTTGAATGCAGGCTATGCACCAGCCCGGACAAAAATGTATATTAAATCCAGATTGACACTTTCCATATCCCAGAGCTGGCTCTGCTCTCAGGGCTCTGTTTTATTCCACATTTTCGGCGGAGGCATATTTCATGCAAGAGAATAAAAAGCTATTAGGACTAGTATTAGAGGGGAGACAGCCGGGCCAACGACAGCTGTCTTCAACTGCAGCCCGAGTGCATAAATCTTCCGCTGAAATGTCAGCGCAGGACGAACGACAAAAACGCGCCAGGGCTGTGATAAAATAGCACGGCGTGCAGCACTCACAAAACCCTGAAAGTAAAGTCCTTTGGGACTTTCGTAAGTTTGAGCCAAATATAAGTCATTAAACAAATTCTGAAAATAGATCACAAATGTGGAACATTTTTTAGTTACAGTCAGAGTTTCCCAGAGTTTTAGTCCAAGTGGCTCTGTTTAGGGATTATAAAAGGTCCTTAAAATATTAATTTAAGATGTTTGTCTTTTGCGCCTGGATTGAGTATGGAATAGATAATTTTTATTACTCAGGATTATTCAGGAAAACCTTTCAGGAAAGGGCATAATCTATGCCTTCTCCATTTTTTGGAGTTGCCCCAAAATCTTGGGATAACCAAAAGTCGCAACATTAAACTCAAACCTATATGACACTG